GTGATTTACATTCAGATGCTTGGCAACTGATTCATATTTATGACGGTCACAGTGTCCCAGGGTCATGTGAAGTGACCAAAACCTGCTGCAACCACCCAGCAGATGGGGGGAATAAAAACCAAACACCCCCCACCCCACCCCCGCTGCCAATCCTCAACAGAAATGCTCACAACAATGAAAACCTCGGACAGGAGGAAGAACGCTGCCGGGTGGGCAGGCAGGTGTCTTGCTTGGCTGTGCCAAGGGAGGCGCTTTTTTCAGTGCCATTGTAACTTCGAACAGTCACTAAGCGAACTGTTGTAAGTCAAGGACTACCTGTACTTCATCACTTTTTTCTTTTCTTTTTTTGATCATCAAGTTTTTGACACCTTACTAGGCGACTGGTGGTACTCGGATGTTGCCATATCCTAAAAGTGGTACAATGGGTGAAAAGGTTGAAAAGCCCTGTTCTAGATCACAGAAGAAAGGTAGAATATAACATTTTAAGTTTAAATATTTCTTTATGTTTCCAGGCCCCAGAATCCGGTCGTGAGTGTGTCGCTTTCAGGGCCAAACAGGTAGTTTCTGTGGGAAAACTGCAACCAGCCAGCGCTACCGTCTACGACTTCTACGAACCCAGTAAGTCAAAGCAAGCAACAGTTGTGAGAAGAGCTGGAAGGATGCATTTTTTAAAAAAAAAAAATCAGTCTCTGATCGGCACAAATGACGTGTCGGACGTGCTGTGATATCTCCAGAGCAGGCATGACTGAATGTTCGTAAAGACTGTTCCAAAAGGCAGGCTAATTTTGTAGCATGGGCAGTCCTCGACTTAACAACCGCAACTGGGAGCAGAACTTCTGTCATAAATCGTTGCACTTGTCAGTCAAGTACAACCTGATTTCACAACAATTTTTACCACAGTTGTTAAATGAATCGCTGTGATCTTTAAGTGTATCGCACAGTCTTATTAGTCTATTATTGGCTTATTTCAATGCATAGGGCCTCCCGTCTCAAAAGCACAAGTTGTAGTGCCTAACCACAGTTAAAAAATGCCATCAACAACAACATTGTACTGTACGTGGAAAATCAGGAGCCAAGATAAAAGCAAACAAAACCCCCTAAAATCTTCATCAATATCACTGTTTCCTAGACTCTGCCCTGCAGTCTGACCCCCCACCCACACGCACACCTGGCAACATAGCCATGTCTTTAAGACCTTAGGACAGAGGTCCCCAACCTGTGGGCTGCAGCCCACTACCGGGCTGTGACCTCCTGGCCACTGGGCCGTGGAACAGGCTGGCCAATGCACGCACCTGTGTGCGTGCACTCATCCCCACTCGTGCTAGCAACACCGCCACTACACCGCGTGATGAAAACGGCGCTGCACAGTGAAAACGGGTGGTGCTAGCAACCGTGTGGCAAAAACGGGGCAGTGCTAGCGACTGTCACGCAGACACTAGCACCACCCCCTTTGCATCGTGCATGCTCACAGCCCCATTTGTGTCCGCACGCACGCATAAAATGCTTCCCCATCCCGTTCCCTCCGGTCCGCCAATCTAGAAAGGTTGAAGACGTCTGCTTTAGGAAATGTCAACAGGGTTGAGGCTAGTTTGATCTCTGGGAGTGGGGAGATGTTTCAAAGAGCAAATTCCCAAAGAGAGAAAACTTTCTTTTTGGGTCCCACCAGACAGTAGTCTCCGATGGACGGGACCCAGAACACACCTCTCCTACTGGGTCTGATGGGATATTTAGGCACAGTTAGGGAGAGGCAGTTTATTAAATAAGCTTAGCTCCTCATATTAACCCAGCTGCTGCTTCTCTTTAGTTTCTGACTGTTCTACTCTCCCCTTGCAGGTCAACGTTGCAGCATCTTCTACGGGGCTCCAAACAAGCCACAGTATGTCTCCGCGTTGTGCTCAGATGATGTCTGCCAGTGTGCTGAAGGTAAAGTTGCCTGGACAAGACAGTGGGTTTTAAGGGCTCTGAATTAAGGCCTTCAATTAAGGCAGACATGTCAAACACAAGGCCCTGGGGCCAGATGCGGCCCGCGAAGTGGTTTCATGTGGCCCGCAAAGCCATCCTGGAAACAATGAGGGAACGGCCCCCACTGCCTTGGCCCTGGCCCAGGCCGGCCTGGAGCCAATGTACAATTTTGTGGTGGACATCTATGCTGAAATGCATTCAGCTCCACAAGGCCATCTAGAAACAGCAAGGAACCAGCCCCTGCTGCATCGGCCCCGCCCCCTGGGTGCATGCTGGGGAGGTGTCACCCTTTGTGAGGAATGAAGAAATGGACCATGCCTTGGCGCTTGCCCTGGTCCCACCCCCTTCTGCCAGAGACCCTCAGATCTGCCCCACTCCTGCCCAGGCCCCCACAGGCACCCTTGACGTGAACGATGTAGAGCTGGCCATGCCCACCCAGTAGGCTGCACCCACCCTGGCCACACCCACCCAGCCCCTCCAGGGCAACTGCAATGCTGATGCGGCCCTCAATGAAATTGAATTTGACACCCCTGAATTAAGGCCTGAGGCACCATGGACCGCCCTCTTCCTTCCACATCACAAGTAGAACCCAAGTTTACTTCTGCAAGGTCAGCCAGAAAGGTGGATTCTCACGGATCGTTTAAGGTGAATGCAGCTGATCTGCTCTCACTTGGAACCACCGGGCAGTTGGACAAAGGATTGTCTGAACAGCTTCTCTTTGCAATCAGGAATACATTCTTGAGCAGGGGTCTTCAAACGTGGCCCTTTTATGACTTGTGGACCTCAACTCCCAGAATTCCTCAGCCAGGCATGCCTGGCTGAAGAATTCTGGGAGTTGAAGTCCACAAGTCATAAAAGGGCCACGTTTGAAGACCCCTGTTCTTGAGGATGATTTTCAGGAATGCAACTGAGGAAGGAGAAATCAAAATAATATTGAGCCTTTCTAGTAATTGCCAAGCCCTACAGTGAGGCTGTTCTTCTTATGATACAGTCCTCCAACACCGTGGATGTACAATATTAAAAGATTAGGACTTAATCATACACACAGACACACACACACACA